ACAACCATCTGAAATGACATCTGGTGCCCTCTTCTGTGTACATAAATAAATAATTCTTTAAAAACAAATCACATCAGCAAAAATAGGCCAAAGGACTTATTGTGCATACCGACCAAGGATGAGTGTAACTGCCTCACCCGGAACCCACGAAGAAGAGGATACCTAACATGAGATTCCCACACTGACTTGCTGTCTGCCCATACATTGTGTGTATTAAGGGCTGGAGGAGAGAACTCTTGACTGTCCCATGGGCTTCAGGTAAGCTTGGTCCCTGTTGATGATGTATCCACCCACTCATCTATCTGGACCTGCTGTCCATCTGTCCATTGGTTCATTCAACTGGACCCTATCCTACTCTTTGATTTCTATAGCATCTTTTGCATTCTATAGCATCTATTGTTTCTATAGCATTTTGTTTGTTTGTTTTTTGTTTTTTTGTTTTTTTGTTTGTTTGTGAGACAGGGTTTCTCTGTGTAGCTTTGGAGCCTGTCCTGGAACTCACTCTGTAGCTCAGACTGGCCTCGAACTCACAGAGATCCGCCTGCCTCTGCCTCCCAAGTGCTGGGATTAAAGGCTTGTGCCACCACCACCACCACCACCACCACCACCACCACCACCACCCCGGCCAGCATCTCCTTTTTTTGGGGGTGGGGGTGGGTGGGTACGCCTTTAATCCCAGCACTTGGGATGACTGGGTCTTGAGGTAGTGCGATTCCTAATTTTCTGAGAAACCGCCATACTGATTTCCACAGTGGTTGTACAAGTTTGCATTCCCACCAACAGTGGAGAAGTGTTCCCTTTGCTCCACATCCTCTCCAACATTGACTGTCATTGGTGTTTTTGATCTTAGCCATTCTAACAGGTGTAAGGTGGTATCTCAGAGTCATTTTGATTTGCATTTCTCTGATGATTAAGGATGTAGAGCATTTCTTTAAATGTCTTTCAGCCATTTGTAGTTCTTGTTTTGTGAATTCTCTGTTTAGCTCTTTAGCCCATTTTTTAATTGGACTGCTTAATATCTAGTTTCTTGAGTTCTTTATATACTGTGGAGATCAATCCTCTGTCAGATGTGGGGTTGGTGAAGATCTTTTCCCATTCTGTTGGCTGTCTTTTTGTCTTATTGACTGTGTCTTTTGCCCTGCAAAAGCTTCTCAGTTTCGAGAGGTCCCATTTATTAATTGTTGTGCTCAGGGTCTGTGCTGTTGGTGTTTTATTTAGGAAATGGTCTCCGGTGCCAATGCGTTCAAGAGTGCTTTCTACTTTCTTTTCTATTAAGTTTAGTGTAACTGGATTTATGTTCAGGTCTTTGATCCACTTGGACTTGAGTTTTGTGCATGGTGACAGATATGGATCTATTTGTAATCTTTTACATATTGACATCCAGTTATGCCAGCACCATTTGTTGAAGAGTATTGGTATTAGTCTCCTTTTTTTTTATATATATATATACCTTTACTTGACCCTAAGGCTACACACTGACCACACAGCAGAGCCTCGGACAGGGTTTTGTCTGAGAGCTGCATGCCCAGAGACTCTTCCTGTGTCTGTTGTACCCACCCCTTTTGTCTCTGTTGGGTCTCCCTGAGCCGCCCTGAACTCTGCTGTGGCTCCTTTAACCCTTTGTAGCCATGTCACCACAGCCATGTCAAGAGCTCTGGTACCTCAGTCCCATGGGAGTGGCAAAGCTTTCCCCTGGTGAGGTTCCTCTGGAGGGATGGCGAGACTTTCCTTGGGGTCCATGTGCAAATGATTGACTGGTGGGTACAAAAACTAGCAGCTACAGCCTCCGTGTCCCAGATGTTTACAGTCTGAGACAGCTTACCTACAGCGCCCTCCTATGGACACTGGCTACCTCCCCTTGCTGTGGAATAATCCTCTTGTACTCTGTAAAGATTTGTCACTCGAATTGGTTTAATAAAACACTGATGGGCTGGCAGCTGGGCAGGAAGTTTGGCGGGAAAGCCAAACTGAGAATGCCGGGAAGAAGGAGGCAGGATGAAGGAACTGCCAGCAAGATGCAGAGGAAGCAAGATGAGAAAGTCATGTTGAGAAAAGGTACCAAGCCACATGGCTAAACATAGGTAAGAATTATAAAGCCGGGCGGTGGTGGCGCACACCTTTAATCCCAGCACTTGGGAGGCAGAGGTAGGTGGATCTCTGTGAGTTCAAGGCCAGCCTGGTCTACAGAGTGAGTTCCAGGATGTGGACAGCCAGGACTGTTACACAGAGAAACCTTGTCTCAAAAAAAAAAAAAAAAAAAGAAGAATAATTATGGGTTAAAAAAAAGAATTATGGGTTAATTTCAGTGTAAGAGCTAGTTAATAATAGGCCTGAGCTACCAGCTGAGCATTTATAAGTAATATTAAGCTCCAGAGTCAATTATTTAAGAAGTGGCTACAGGCAGGCAGGAGAAAAACTTCCGCCTACCTCCCCTCCCTGGGTTGTACACAATAAACAAGCTGAGGTTCCAGGTTGCAGTGGGAGCAGGTGTCTCCATGAGAGTGCGCACACCTCCTCTGACTCCACTTTTCTGTATATGTGTCTGTGTGTCCATCCTTTCTTTATTCCCCCACCACCCCTAGTCAGAGTTTCAGGACCCAAGCCATGCAGGACTTGGCATATACATACATACATACATATATATATATATATATATATATATATATATATATGTAGATAGATTATCTACTGTGTGATGTGTAATGCATGATCTGACAGTTATTATTAGAAATTTAAGATAGTGTGAAGATAATATGAAGGCCTAGACTTGACTTTACAGACTCCATCTTAGGGAAGGGCCACCATCTTAGACCACCTGGTGACCGGGGGCTGTACTCAGTTCCAGGAAGAACCTCAAGAACGTGCCATGACAACTCCAACAGATACCCTAGAAGCAGCCAATTAAGAAATAGGGCAGTAAAATTTAACAAGATCCAGATGCTCCTGCAGACATCCTGTTGGCAGTTTATAGCCCTTGCAGATATCTAGATAATCCTGTCAGCAGGTTGTGGTTCCCCGCCAAAAGTCTAACCCAATAGTTTCAAATGTGGTTTCGCACCGAAAGTCTAGACCAATAGTTTCAAAAATCTACCTTGCCCCATATCCCTTCTACCCAATCCCCCAAAAGGCCAAGGCATGTAATTCCTGGCTTGTGGGTTTTTTTTTCTTTTAAAAACCCTGAGCCTGGGGCCTCCGCATTTCTCTCCATCTGCCGGGCATCGGCCCAGGTTCAAACCTGACAATAAAAAGACCCTTATGTGCTTGCATGGGAAACATGCTCTTTGGTAGTCTCTGGGGTTTTCGAGACAGGGTACAACTTAGTATGCTTAAGTCTGCTAGTAAGGAAACTGGGAGGACTTGAAAATTGTTGCCAATGACACCGATGTGATTTATCAGTTCAATAAATTCTAAAGTTTTGGAAGGTACAGACTCGTCTGTCTATGTTCCTGTAGTAGCTTAGACATGCCCTCCCCGCCTCCTGTTGCTGTGCTTCTCTTCTGACAACAGTCCCTCCATCTTCTCTAGTATCTAATTTTTTTCAAATATTTTTTTAAAGATTTATTTATTTATTATGTATCCAGGATGTATGACTACAGGCCAGAAGAGGGCACCAGATCTCATTACAGGTGGTTATGAGCCACCATGTGGTTGCTGGGAATTGAACTCAGGACCTTTGAAGGAGCAGTCAGTGCTCTTAACCTCTGAGCCATCTCTCCAGCCCTCTAGTATCTAATTTTTCAAATAAAGCCATCTTCCTCTGTCACTTTGATCCCAGGCTTAGCCGTCCTATGGTGTGGCAACCACCTGGGAATGTTACGGTAACACTAAATCCAAATTTCCACTGTCTCATGAGTTTTCCCAGCAAGACCTCAGATTTGTGGTGGTCTTGGGAAAACACCATGGTCACAGCAAAGAAATCTACAATTGTTCTGTATTCTAATCTGACATTTCAGACATTGGGCTATATGGAAGCTTTTGTAATTGTGTTCCAAATGGCTGTCATCCCACACCTCCTGAACCAGGGCACACTCAAGTTTTGCACACTCCCTCTGTTCTCTGTAGTGTATGTATTCGCCTGTCCATCTTTAGGATAGGTGTTCCACACCCTGTCCCCAAACTTGGATTATGATGGCTTTCTTGCTTTTCTCTCTGTCCAGAAAAGCGGATGCTCTCCAAGAGGCTTTGCGGGGCGGATTTCTCTGGGGATCCGGATTTATTTGGGCTCCCTGGTAAGGCCCACAGTTCTCAGCGGTATAGGGACAGGATGCTTAGCAATGGGCAGCTCCACGCAGCCCTCCAGAGATGGGCATTGCAGTTAAGGACAGGAAGGGCCAGATCAAGACCTTGTAGTAATGCAGCCGCTCCTGCTGCGCGCTATGCAGGTTTTTCAGTAAAGAGGAGGGCGAGCTCAAGACAATTGCTTGACCCTTCCAAGAATCAGAGAGTTGCCCCAGCCAAGACGCCAGGATTCCAGCTTTCCTGAAGGCTGCAGTTGCGCCTCCTGGCCACGGAGGGGCAGTAGTGCACGCCGGCATCAGCCGGGACGTTTGACGTTCAACCGTGTTGTGTCGCCGCGGCGTGACGTTCGGTGGTGTCGCGCAGACGTGACGTAGCGCTTGTCGTCACTGGAGCGCCCGAGCGGAAGCGCCGAGTGCGTGGTCTCAGGCTCCTCATCATGGTTCCCGGGGTGCCGCTCCCGCCGGAGATCCAGCTGGCGCAGCGCCTGGCCGGCAATGAGCAGGTGACGCGGGACCGCGCGGTGCGGAAGCTGCGGAAGTACATCATGGCCAGGACGCAGCGAACCGCAGGTACCGGGCGGGCGGGCTGGGAACCTCCGCCGCGTGGGCCCCACGGGGCCGGCGATGTCGCCGGCGGGTCTCCTGGCTCAGGCCGTCCCCGTCGGAATGCACGCTTTTCCTTCCTCCGGAGCTTGCTCGTGCTCTTTGGGCCTTACCAGTGTTCTGTGTACTTAACGGAGTGGCCTCGAGCTTCCCAGAACATGCCTTTTGCTGAGTGCTTTCTATGAGTGGGCCCTCGAAGAGCGACCCCCTGCCAGCAGCCTCAGCTTCTCTTGGATACCCCTTCACAGATGAGAATTCCAGATCCCCTGAGCAGTGCTTTGACTGAGGTCGCGGCCCCGTGCTTTATAGGAAGCGCCACAGGGTCGTTTTTCCACGCTGCAGCTTGAGAACCGCAGTTTAGGGGCTGATCCTCACGGAATCATGGTTATGGCCTTTGCTAGCCTGAATGAGACACTTTCACCATTTAGCCTCTGAGATGTTATAGATGAGCTACAACTCCTTGGTCTGACACTGGCTGAATGATCACTGCATTAGCTATGGGCCACCATCCAATCCAGTATGTGTTGAGGTTCAGTGTTTTAACCCTGTGGGACTGATGATACCTGTCGTTTAGCTGGGGCATGAAGCTACTGGGGGAGCTCCTCCAGTCACAGGTATGGCAGGTCTATTGGAGAGTGTTTTGGGGAGGGGCTGGCTGCCCAGTTCCTGCACAATGATTCGATTCTGGGTAATTCAGGCAGTCATGCTTCCTTCTGCCTCGGAAAGGCAGGTTCCAAGGTCCACTGGGTCTACTGAGTCCACTGACTATTGCTCTTGTGATTTAGGTGGTTTTACTCCAGATGAGCTGCTGAAGATCTGGAAAGGGCTGTTTTACTGCATGTGGATGCAGGACAAGCCTCTTCAGCAGGTGAGTGCATGAGAAGGTAGCTGAAGAAACTGGACAGGAATGGATGGTGGACTGATGGGCATGTGTTTATTCTTCTTTTAACATGGCCAGAGACTTGGGTGGAGTCACTCAGCTTATATATATCCCTTGTTCTGTGTGGTTGGCAGGGCTGTGGTAGGAAGGTCCCGGCCTTTAGGAAGGACAGGAATGGTTGGTTAACCAGAGCATCTTTTTTTTTTGTTTTGTTTTTTTGTTTTGTTTTGTTTTGTTTTTGAGACAGGGTTTCTCTGTGTAGTTTTGCGCCTTTCCTGGAGCTCACTTGGTAGCCCAGGCTGGCCTGGAACTCACAGCGATCCGCCTGGCTCTGCCTCCCGAGTGCTGGGATTAAAGGCATGCGCCACCACCGCCTGGCTTAACCAGAGCATCTTAATGACATGGTGGCAAACAGTGTCGGCCAGGGTGGGCTGAAGTTGATAGTGTCACATTAATCACTGCTTTGGTTGGAAACCCAGTGTTGATAGAAGAAAGTAAGGGCAGAATCCAGGTCTCCTGGGAAGGCATTTCTCCTGAAGGCCTTTTTTTTTTTTTTTTTTTTTTTAAGAACAGCAGTTCTCAGCTTGTGATTTGTTTGTACAGTTGGAGGAGCCAGACCCATATTCTTGTACCTGCTAAAACAACCATCTCGGGGCAGGGAGGGGAGGGTAGTTCTAGAATCTTAGTCAGGGTACTGGGTAATGCTTAACACTGAGAGACAGTAGATAGTGAGTGATTCATGTGTCTGCTTGGCCCCATTTCCTGCTAGAAAGACAGCTGTGTCTCGAGGCTCCTTTCCATCTTGCCATGATGTCTGGGGTATCACCCTCTTGTGCAGGGCCACTGCCTTAGTGAGGCCAGCACTGACTCCTGCTGTATAGAGGGAGAGTCTGGTGGCTTCCATAGAGTAGGCCTTTCGCAGCCAGGAGGCATGCAGAATTTTTAGGCCCCACCTGGACGGAGGCCACCCGGCAGCTGGTTCTTTGTGTGGAGTGAGTGGGCATTGGTAGCGTGTGCTGTGTCCCAGCAGTGCTTCAGGGTCTGAGGGTGTGCTTCCTGTTTCCCTCACAGGAAGAACTAGGAAGGACCATTTCCCAGCTCATCCACGCTTTTCAGACTACAGAGGCACGTGAGTACTCTTGAGGCCAGGCCTGTCGCTGTCAACACCAGAGTTACTGGGATTCAGAGCTACCAGTGTAGCGGGCTGTGTTCTCAGACCTCAAGCTACAGGGAGGTAGGTGGCTGTGTGGGAGCTTGTGGTGTGGAACACAGCCCAGTGCTCAGCCTGTACTCACCCGTTTACCAAACAGACGTGGCTCAGGGGTGAAAGGCGGAGGTGTAACACATAGAGAAAAGCTCAGTGTCATGATACCATCATGTTTAGCTGGATTCCACCTAATAGACACGACACTCATTCTGTTTATTTATTTTTATTTTATGTGCACTGGTGCTTTGCCTGCGTATATGTCTGTTTGGGGGTGTCAGATCTTGGAGTTACAATTGTGAGCTGACATGTGGGTGCTGGGAATTGAACTGGGGTCCTCTGGAAGAGCAGCCAGTGCTCTTGACCACTGCGCTATCTCATTCTTGTAGTGCACTGATTCTCAACCTTCCTAATGCTGCAGCCCTCATGTTGTGGTGACCCCCAACCATAAAATTATTTTTGTTGCTACTTCATAACTGTAATTTTGCTACTGTTATGAATTATAGTGAAAATATCTGTTTTCTGATGGTCCTAGCTGTAAAGGGGGGGGTGAGACCCATAGGTTGAGAACCACTGTCTTAGTGTATTTCCTAGCTTTTCCATTTTTCATCCATATCCCTCTCCTGCCTGTCTGTTGGAATCACCTAGGCAGCTTTTGAAAATCCTGAGGTCCAGACCCTAGCTCAGGCCAGCCTTGCTCTGGGGTATAGCCCGGCTCAGGCCCCGTGCTCCTCCGAGGGCAGTCCTGACCGAGGAGCTGGAGGCTTGAACTCATGTCCTCAGTGAGCTGGCTTTTAGTTGTGTTAGACGGAAGTCGGCACATTGAGGAGATACACGCATATTTCCTCAGTCGGGAGAACCCCTCATCCCACCCCTCTTTTTTGGTGACAGGTTCTTACTGTGGGGCTCAGGCTGGCCTTGAACTTGGGATCCTTTCATCACTGATGTGTGCCATGGGGGTCAGGAATATCTTTAATTGCATGTATAGATGGAGTGGATCTGAGCTCGCTACTCTTTGCTCTCTAAGAACTGGCAGGAGAGTTGCTTTGCTGGGCACAAAGCTGATCACTTGGTGACCTAGTCACCAGGCCACCATGACTGAGCCGTCTGAACAGCCCTTTGCTGGTGTAGAATTTGTTCCAGTACCAAAGTTTCCCAGGGCTGGTGCCTCCTTGTCCTGCAGATGGTACCTTCCTCCGATTGAGTGAGACTAGATAGGGCTCACCCTCAGGACCTTTGTTAGCGCCCCAGCACAGCCCCTCTGTTTACTCTGGTTATGGTTTGCAGTACCAAGGGTTTAGAGCTTCTCCGTAAGATTTTAAGGGCACAGTTCAGACTCTACATCCTGCAGCCGACTCATCTGTTACCTGCAGGGCTAATGGATCTAGTTGGGCGAGTACCGAGCCTCTACCTACAGTTTGCTTCAGTGACTCCTTGCTAAAGGTCTGGCTTGGGTGTCAGGAGGTCCTTAGTCCAAGCCAAGGCAGGAACAAGGGGGGGAGGGGAGCAGTGTCCCCAGTAGTCACTCAGTTTCCCAGTACCTTGCTCCCTCTTTGTGCTTTTGTTCAGACAACAGAGTGACAGCTTGATTTGAACTGTGTTGTTTGGTTTTTCTGTGGAGTCTGGGGACTCCTGCTTCTGAGCCCTGTGAGTGAATACACAGGCAGGGCGTTCCAGGGCCGCCCCCGAGGACTCCTGCGGGTTTGCTGCCCTTCCCCACACGGCCCTGGTGTTCATGTGTGTGCTCTCTCGCCCTCTAGAGCACCTGTTCCTGCGGGCGTTCTGGCAGACCATGATCCGAGAGTGGGTGGGCATTGACCGACTGCGCCTGGACAAGTTCTACATGGTGAGGCCCAGAGCAGGGGACCCACGAGCCCTGGGGTGAGGGGTCAGCAAGGGCTGGTTGGGAATGTACTTGGCTGCAAGGCTGCTACAGCCTGAAGTGTCCCCGTCTTGAGGGCCAGTGGGAGTTCAGAGAAGGAGCCTTGCTTCAGCCTTCCTCAGGAGTCAGCCATTGTGACTGCCAGTGAACCCCGGCCGAGCATGCGGCAGGAGGGCACTGAGTCCCCGCCTGTGAAGATCCTCTTCTGGCTGAGGGCTTGCCTTCTGCTGTCTTTCTCCTGTGTCATGCTCCTCTCGGCCAATGAGTTGCGTGGGAACATAGACCTGAGTTCTGTGGGCGCGCCTTGTGCCGTGCTGACCCATGTCCTGGTGGAACCACAGACGGGTCACTAATCAGATGTCCTTCCCTGTAGTGCTGGAGCCTAACTACAGAAACAGAAGGAAGATGGGCTGTATGGGCTGTGGGGCCCTGGCTGCATGTGGGGGTCCAGCACCTCCTGTAGCAGGGAGTAGGTCTGTGGGAGAAGATCTTGTGTGGAGTGGCTATGCTAAGATGTAAAGTGGCTGCTATTGCTGGGTCCTTGGTGTGGTAAATGCTGTTGCTTTCCAAGGCCCATTTAAAGATTTATTTATTTATTTTATTTATTTATTTATTTTTGGTTTTTCGAGACAGGGTTTCTCTGTGTAGCTTTGCGCCTTTCCTGGAACTCACTTGGTAGCCCAGGCTGGCCTCGAACTCACAAAGATCTGCCTGCCTCTGCCTCCCGAGTGCTGGGATTAAAGGCGTGCGCCGCCGCCGCCGCCGCCGCCGCCGCCGCCGCCGCCGCCGCCGCCGCCGCCGCCACCACCACCCGGCCCATTTAAAGATTTTTAATTCGGGCTGGAGAGATGGCTCGGTGGTTAAGAGCACTGATTGCTCTTCCAGAGGTCCTGAGTTCAATTCCCAGCAACCACATGTTGGCTCATAACCACTTGTAATGAGATCTGGTGCCATCTTCTGGCCTGCAGGGACACATACAGGCAGAATATTGTATACATAATAAATAAGTAAATCTTTTTTTAAAAAAAAATAAGTAAATAAAGATTTTTAATTCTATGTTTTTGTGCGTGTGTGTGAGTTTTGCCTGTATGTATGACACCACATGTGTGCCCGGTGCCCTCAGGGGTCAGAAGAAGGCATCAGCTCCTCTGGAAGTATGGGTGGTTGTGAACCACCATGTAGGTGCTGAGCATTGAATCGGGGTGCTCTCTCTGCAAGAGCAGCAGATGCTCTTAACCACTGAGCCATCTTTCCAGCCTCCAAGGTCCATTTCATCTTTGTGCCATCTGTGATCAAGTCTTGAGTGTGGCTGACTTTCTCAGTGTTAGTGTAGGTAGGCATAAAAGTCAGGTCTGTGGTGTCCCCAGGTGTGACATCAGACCTCTGGTGTGCTTTGTGCACATGGCTCCAGGTGTTGTTGGTTGTCTTCACTGTGACCTGGAAGCAGAGTGGACATATCATGTTAAGATCTAAAGGCAGGAAATTTATAGAAAACACTGAGCCATGTCAAGGGGTAGTGGGGCCCATGGGAAGGATGCTGAGCCTTGATTGATGTGGCAGTGGTTCAGAGCAGGGTTTGCTCCCGTCTTGCTCTCTGATGGGGAAAGGGGGGCTTGGGAGAGCATGGGAGAAGTTAGGCCCTGCTTCAAACTCGGCTTTGTGGTGACTGCCTGCCATAAGAAGAGCCCACTGCGTGCCTGACCATTCTGGTCAGCTCTGGTTTGTAGTTCCCACTCACTCAGGCGAGCCTGGCTTCCTGCTGCTCACAAAGCCAAGTGCAGAGCTTCGATCTCCAGGCCTGGGGTCCTGTGGGCGCAGTGTCATGTCCCCCAATATCCATCCTGTGGGCAGCACTCCGCCCAGGTGCGCATCTTGGGACATGCTGAGGCCTTACCTTCAGGAGGCTTCTGGGGCATGGGGAAGCTGGGCGACTTGTCCACTGTCTCTCACTGACATGAATTTCTTTTGTGTCCAAGCTCATGAGGATGGTCCTGAGTGAGTCACTGAAGGCTGTGAAAACCCAAGGATGGGAAGAAAGGTGGGTCTACACTGGGAGTCAGGTTTTTATAAAGTGGTTCAGGTGATGCTCTCTTCTCTGAACTGCTATCCAGTTATGTCTAGAGTCAGGCAGAATTACGTACACTGGTCATAACAGGTGTACAGCTAAAGCTCTCTTCCTTTTTGTGTGTTTTTTGCTTGCTTGTTTGTTTGAGACAGGATTTCTTCGTGTAGCCTTGGCTGTCCTGGAACTTGCCCTGGAAAAAAGGCTGGCCTTGAACTCACAGAGATCCGCCTGCCTCCCTGCCTCCTGAGTGCTGGGATTAAAGGTGTGCGCCAAGGCCCCCTTAAGGGGCCCATGGGTGGGCAGCTGTGCTGTCAGTGGTCACTGTTTGCCCAGGCCTCTTACTTTTGACCACGTGCTTAGCTGGCTGGCCTATGTCCCTAAGCAGTGGTCAGCTGTGTTCCTGTCTGACCCTGGCTTCTGTGACAGCAGTGGGGTCCCACTCCACTGGGGCCCTCATCCTGTCCTTGCCCTCTTGGGAGACCCCAGGCCTAGAGGGGCTGCCTGCTCACCTGTCTGTGTCCAAGCTGAGGGCAGCGGGTTCCAAGCCTTGTGGTAGCCTGAGTCCTATCAATCCTACAGTGTGTGTTTCTGACTGTTTTCATTTAGATTTGTTTTGTTGTTGTTGTTGTTTGTTTCTGTTTTTCAATACAAGGTTTCTCTGTAGCCCAGACTGTGCTAGAACTTAGACCAGGCTGGCTTTGAACTCGGAGATCCACCTGCCTCTGCCTCCGAATGCTGGGATTAAAGTTGTGTGCCACCACCGCCCGGCTTCATTTAACATGTGGAGGGGGCGGGAGCACCGTGACCTGTGACTGCATGGCTACCACGGCCTTTTCCCTCTTTCCTCAGACAGATTGAGCAGCTGCTGGAGCTGCTCACCACCGAGGTACTGAACCCCGACAGCCAGGCCCCCAATGGGGTGAAGAGCCACTTCCTGGAGATCTTCTTGGAGGAGCTGACCAAAGTGGGCGCTGCAGAGGTAAGGTGGGCTCAGGTGAGGTCTGTGGGGTGTGGTGCATGTGCCCAGCGCCAAACACACCTCCCATCCCTCGGTTTCCCCACAGCTCACCGCAGACCAGAACCTGCAGTTCATCGACCCCTTCTGCCAGATAGCAGCCCACACTAAGGAGTAAGTGGTGGGCGGCCCCTGGAGTCTGAGCTTTCTCACTCTTCTGTCTCAGGCAACCGTGGCCTTTGGCCCTCCATGCTGTGAGGGTTGGCATGGTGTCTGAGAGCCCAGCCCAATGGCCTCTCTGGCCTCTGCTTCCCCCTTAGCTCCCTAGTTTTAAATAAGATCACGCGGAGCATCTTTGAGACGATTGTGGAACAGGCTCCCTTGGCCATCGAAGACCTACTGAATGAACTGGACACACAGAGTGGGGAGGATGAAGCGTCAGATGGTGAGGAGGAGTCCTCAGAGGGTGAGCAGGATCTGCAAGACACGCCACCCAGGAGGCTGCCTGCAGGTGAGGAGTCCAGGCCTGTCCCAGGCCGAGTCCAGGGCTCTTGCTGGATTGTTGTATCTTCTGGCTGTCCTGTCCAGAGTCCCTTGTAGTGTGGCATAAAATACGTATTTACTCTCTTAAGTCTGTCTTAGCACGTGGCTCCCAGCTGCCAGCTCAGTTCCTGGAGTGCTCCTGACTAAGGCTATAATGCTCCCTGGGTCCTGGGTGGCACCCTGGCCTCCCTGTTCACGAGGCAGCGTCTGCCCTGGTTTTGTTCCTGTTCTCAGTGGTGTTAGGATGGAACTTGGGCCGTCTGCACCAGGCAACTGTTCTGACCTTGAGTCATGCCCAAGCCTTCGTCCTGCTCTCCCCGCCGGGATTCTCGGCCTCCATCGGTTGCCTTTCCTCTGTGGTCCTTTTCTCTGCCCTGCCCTCCGGTCAGTCTGGGTCTGACCACACTGCAGCAAGGAACAGGACTGCACCGCACATTCTCTTACAAGTGGCCCTGAAGGGCTGCGGCTCTGCCCTGGGCTGGCTTTGTCTTGAGGCTGTGGTCGTGGACTCTCCGGGAAGGCTGTCCTCTTTCAGCTCTGGTGTCAGCGCCCGCAGCCCCTTCTTGGGTCAGCAGAACACTGCCTGGCCTTCCTGTGTGTGTCTTCCCAGTCATGCTCAGTTTCCTGGCAAGTCCAGTGGTGCCTACCTGAGGTCAGCAGCCACTCTGCATATAGCAAGCCATCCTGCAGCTGCTGTCCTTCTTATCGGAGTGTCCCACAGGACCTTGTCCAGAAGTCCTTCACCCACAGGCGATGCTGAGTGTGCCGTGGGAGCACATGCCTATAATCTCAGCACTTGGGAGGCTGAGGCAGGAGGGTTGCCCAAGTTCAAGGCCAGCCTGGGCTGTAAAGGAAATACCAGGCCAGCTAGAGCTACATGACAAGGCCTGTTTCAACTTTGTTCCTACCAAAGGCAGTGCTATCGGAGTTCTTAGCACACGGTCCAGTTCAGTGTCCTGAGCTGAGCTAAGCAGGCTCCAGTGCCCCTGGCCTACCTACTGCTAGGACACCTGAAGCTGCCTTTGCGGCCCAAGGTGCCTACTGAGCATGCGCCCCTCTCCTGGGATGCCTTTCCTCATCTCTGCTTGTGCCCTTTCCAGCCTGTGCCGGGATATAACCAAGAGGGTCCTCGGTTCCTTGGGTGTTGGTATTGGGGTACCCCTACAACAGACACGGTACCTTGAGTTAGGCTCCATTATGCTTTTAGGCTCCAGGCATAAGGCTGACCCTGAGACAGACAAGGACCAGGTGTGGGATGACGAGGAAAACGCTGGCCCTGTCCTCCAGGTAGGCATCTGTGTCTGGACTACAAGGTTGGCCTTTACCCTCTGGCCTCATTGCTGGTAGTGAGGACGGTAACAGGGTTGTACAGATAGCCTTCATGGAGGCTGGCTTTGGGGGAGGGTGGGTGATGGGCAGCTGGGCAGCTCTTAGTGGGTGCTGGGAGGGTGATGCAAGGGTTAAGCCAGCCCTGCTGCACCTCATGGCATTCCTTTTGCTTTGAACAGGTGGGATGCACCCCCAGGTGTGACCCTATCATTGGGGTGTTGGCCTTGAACAGGGTGGCACAGCCTTAGTGATCTGCAATTGGGTCATAGTTCTGAGTCAGCTGAGAAGTGGGGTCAGGTGGATTGGAAAAGTCAGACAGATGTCAGTAGGCTTTAATACTGACAGCCTGTCACATGAGTAAGTTTGGAGTATTCTGGGTTAAATAAAATGTGTTGGACATTTTCACTTGTTTACTTCCTACCTGTCTGCTGTGGCTAGTAGGGAATTTAGAGGACGTTAGTCCCTGCACTCCAGAGGTGGCTCTAGACCAGCCACATAGGAAGACCCTGTCTCAGGAAGGAAATGAATAAGGCTGCCTTCTGCAATCGGATGCTGCCTTTGGACAGTGCATCCCTGAGCAGGGGTAGTGTAGTCTGTCTGCAGGCCTTGCTGGAAGAGAGTGAGTGGGTTGGGTCTGTTCCTGTGGCTGAGCCGAGAATGTCTCCTCAGCCCAGGGAGGTAGGTGGGGTTGTATGTTCGTGTACGTGGACACTGGCTGACCTTGGATTTCTTGCATCTTTTTGAAACAGTTTGACTACGAGGCAGTTGCTAACAGACTCTTCAAGCTTGCCAGTAGACAGAGCACTCCTTCTCAGAACAGGAAGCGCCTCTACAAAGTGATCCAAAAGTGAGTCAGGTGGCCTGCCACACCTCTGCTGCTGTGTGTTGTCCTGTGAAGTGGCCTGAGCCAGGTGGGAAGTCCAGGTGTCTCACCGACAGGGTCCCCCATGAGGACTGATGTGGTCTGGCAGAGCCACTGCGGAGTGGTGACATTTTCTGTCTTCTCTTTCAGGTTGCGGGACCTGGCTGGAGGTGAGGATCTGGTGGGCACGGAGGTGGTCCCCCCTACACACACACGCACACACATGACTTAAGAAGTGCCAGTGCCTGTGGGATGGACTGGTTCCAAGTGATCCCTTAGGTGTGAGAAGTCTCTGCAGAAGTCTGTGTCTTGGTGGGAGAAGGGGTAGGCTCGAAGACTCCACAGCACTCGGTCGTTCCCATACTTGCTGAGTGGTACTCAGGCTTCATTGCATTCCTCACCCCTGGAGGCCTTGAGCCTTTAACTGTCCTGTTGTGTCTTGCTTGTGGAGCCAGCCTCTCTTCATTCACCAGAACGTACCTTGATGCTTCATGCAGGCCTTGAACTTGTGTCCAGTGTTTGTAGATCTGGAGAGTGTGTGTGTATTGTGTGTGTGATGGGTTTTTACCAGTGCCCAGCAAACCTCTGCAGTACAGGACATCGTTCACCACTACACAGCATAAGCCTGTTTGAGGAATAGACCTTGGCACTATGCCACAAACTTGGGGCCACAAATTGCCTTTCTGGATTTTCCTGGTTCTGGGCTGGGTCTGTGTGGACCTGTGATGTGGATCTCAGCAGCTTGGTCATTGGGTCTGGTATGAGAGTGTACGCCTTGCAGAGCGGAGGCGATACATGCCCTCAGCACCCTGACTGTCGCCCTGGTTCTCAGGCACTTTCCCTGATGATGAGGTCCCTGAAAAGGCCTACAAGAAGCTGCTGGAAGGGAGGCGGGAGCGGAAGAAGAAGAAAAAGAAGCGTTTGCCCACATTGCAGCCACAGAGTAAGACAGGTAGGCCCCTGGGCGGAGAGTAACATATGGACCGCCTCAGCCCCTTGTCTCCCCTGCTCGGGGTCCTGCCTTTGCTTAAGGCTTCCCTTCATGCACAGATGCCCTGCAGGCTGTGGGGACTGCCCCAGACTGGTGCCTGTGCTCTGGCTAGCCCACCTCTCTGACCTGTGAGCCTTTGGGTCTGAGCCTCATGTGTCCTTCTATATCCTTCAGTGATCCTGAACCTTGGCCACTCATGTCACTGTTGGTGTTCGGTCCTCTTCCCCTCCTGGTGTGTGTGCGCGCTAGCTTATAGCACGCTTGCTAAAGACTGCCCAGGGCCTGCTGTACATTGTTGGTGGCCCTGCCCGGAGCGGACAGTCTTTTCATGTGCTAACCTAGGAGCTGTCCTGTGAAGGGTCACTGGATTCACCCTGTCTCCCGCCCAGCTATCTTCACATTGAGGTCCATCCATATTGTTCCTAGCTGGGCAGTGTCTTCCCATCAGCCTGCCCTTGGCCTGACTCCAGACTCAAGCCAGATACTGTCCTTCAGCTCTGACACAGTGGATTGAGTTAGGTTTGCTGGCCTTGGGGCACGGAGCCATCTCTACCTCTCTTCCGACGCCCTTCCCACACCCTGTTCCATGTCTTGACCCTTCATCCTGTCCTCTGGCTAGCCTTTCAAGGGACCAAGTCCTGAGCCCAGCTTCTCTAGTATCCTGACACCCAGGATGAAGCTCACTGTCCATACAACATGGGTGCTCCCTGGTCAGCAGCCGTGGCTGGTGCTCCCTGGTGCTGGCATTTCAGTTAGAGTCAGGTGATGACACCCACTGTATTGTCCCGTCAGCTTGTTCACAAGTCTTACTGTGTCCACAGGGGAAAGCGAGACAGAAGCCTCGAGTACAGACCCGAGCCCGCAGATAAAGAGGAAGAGGAGCAGGAGGGATGAGAAGGCTGGCCAAAGAGGGCCTCCTGGGAAGAGGAGGAGGAGGCCTGGTGTTAGAGCAAAGGGGGCTGGCGTCCAGCAAGCAGCGAGGAAGAGGAAGCGGCCATTGCAGAGGGAGAAGTGAGGGGCACGCCCAAGCCAGCCATCCCTGCTGGCACCTGGTTATTGGGCAGGATACCCGGACCTGCCCCCGGAGCCTCTGAATGCCGGGCTCTGAGCTTCCCCTAGGGCAGGGACAGGGGCAGGATGAAGAGGGAGGCCCTTGTCCAGTGCCAGCCTTCAGAGCCACTGCCTGCCTACCAGAAACTCACTCCGAAGACTCAAAAGTTCACCTGGACTCTGTGCAGTGGCCAGAGGATCTAGAGTTTGAGTCCAGCCTGGGGCCCAGAGTTCTCCTTCCCCCAAAATAAGAAAAATGAAACCAGATATTCCACCTGTGTGGGTACTGTCACCTCTTCCCCGGGCTGCCCACAAAATAAACTGCAGGTCCTCACGGCACGCGGGCTGCTTCTGCCCTTTGTATGGACGTCTGTGTGGGAGTGGCGGGTGCCCCTTCTGGGGTGCGTGCGTGCGTGCGTGCGTGCGTGTGTGTCTACTTCGTGTTCTGAGAGCCCTCAAAAAAGAGCCTTTCCGGTGGCTGTGGGCGGGGCTCTGCACTCCCACCTCATGAACTTGCACTGTTGAGGGTTTTCGGGAGGTTCCTGTGACTGAGGTGACAGGGCCATGGCAGGGAGGCCTGGCTGCTGCTGTCACCACTCTCTGGGACACTGTAGTGTGTCCTGGCCACAGCATGTGTTGAGACCCAGCAGGGGGCCTGGGCACAACTCACTGGGCTCTCCTCCCTCAGTAAAGGAGGCTCAGGCCTGCTGCCATGGGCTTGTCCCTTCCTAGGAGTCACCACTGGGGCAGCCAGGGTTACAGGCTGCCTAGATGGTGAGGGGCCATGGGAGGAAGGACAGTGCCAAAGCCATCTGCTCCTTGAGGTTGTGGTGATTTAATCATGGTCCAGGTGCACTGGACTTAGCATTGAGCAGTGTGGCTCATCACTCTAAGGGAGGAGCTGCCATGCTTAGGGCATCCACTGGGTATGGTGATGCTCTGGAAGTGTGGTTCCTTTGGTGCTAAAGTCAGTGCTCAGTGGTAGAGTCCCTGCCATTGAGTGAGGCCCTGGGTCCCAGGCCTGGGTCCTGGGGAAGGCCTGCAGCCAGCATCACGGGTGACGCGCTCCTGTGTCTGCAGGTTCCCTGTAGTAACTGCCTGACTCCAGACAGGAGTCCCCTGCTGGTGACTGTGGCTCCTTATTGATGGAGACAAGGCAGTGTCTGTGAAAGTGGCCATCTTTAATTCCCCGTGTGAGCGGCTTTGAGAGCACAGTCCACACCATCACCCACTCTCTCATTCATGAGTTATTAGGATATTCTCAGAACAGGCGACTGCTGCCAGTTACCACATCAGTTATGCCTGGTGTGCTTTGGCTAGCAGCCCTCCCTGTGCTGGCAGCCTCTGGTCTGTTGGGGCTGCCAGCTCCCCTGTGTGCACATGGCAGCCCCTGATCTGGGTCATGGCTGCCGGCTCCCCTGCTCTGCACATGTCTACTTGGGATTGTGCAGTACATGGCTTCGTATCTGGCATATTTCACTCAGCCATTCTCGGGGCTCGAGCCTGCAGCATGTGCTAGAGCTTCCTGAGGTAGATATCCCCGTGTAGAGTGTGTTTCACTTACGCCTGTGGACACTTGGGGCATCTGCACCGGGCTGTGAGGGAGTCGGGCTGCTCAGATGTACACAGTCCACTGTGCACATGTCTTCACTGCTCTGGGGGAGACACCCAGAAGTAGAGTTGCCAGGGCAGTAGTTTGAAGACCACCAGGCTTCCCTGTGGCAGCTTGCTCCATTGCAGCCTCAGGGATGACAGCCCAGTGCCCTGTGTGACCCTGCATACAGGTGCCGCTTCAGGGAAGGCTGTCAGCTCATCTGTCAGTCCATGACTTGGCCGGGATTTGGGAGTGGACTGGGTGACCCTCTTCACAGTGTGGGGACCCTGCAGTCCCCTCTTGGGGGTGGCAGCTCATGTGGAGGCTCACCTGTTCTACCTTGTCCTTTCTGGCCAGGCCACTTGATCTCAGGAGGTGAGGTAGCAGTAGATTTGGTTCAGCCTCGCTGTGTGTGACCTCAGCCAGAAAACAGGCCCATTCACACACGAACACACAGGAGAGAGGGGGTTCCTCAGTACTGATGGGGTGTGTTCTGGGACCCCGCAAACACTATGTGCCACCAACACTGAAGTCCCTCTTCAAAAGCTGTCCACACAGAACCTGTGCACACCTTCCTACGTACTGTTGTGTTCACACCTGGTACAAGGCAAAATTCTACACAGAGACTGCCATACTGTGTTGATAAAGTAAGGACACGAGGAAAGGCGTGTGCAATTCAGTGCAGCCCAAGTTCTTTGCTATCCCATAGTTTGCATCTATAGGTGTTTGAGTCCCCAGGTGGGAGCCTGTAGTTGGTACAGAGTGGGCTGAATGCAGGGGCGGGGGTATTTAATTTTAATGTTTCTCATGTAGTAAGGATGATGTGTTAAGATTCGAGGTCCAGGAAGAAGGGGGTGTTATGGCTTGGATCAGACCTGAAGGCTGTCCTGGGGACTACCCCACACACACACAGGGGAGGACTGCCTGCTTTATTAAGAGCCTGCCTGCTAGGTGGTGGTGGAGCATGCCTTTAATCCCAGCACTTGAGAGGCAGAGGCAGGTGGATCACTGCGTTCAAGGCCAGCCTGGGCTATTAAGCGAGTTCCAGGATAGCCAGGACTGTTGCACAGAGAAACACTGTCTTGGGGAGGAAAAAAAAAAAATCCAAAAACTGTCAAACTCCAATGTCTTTTTGTTTGTTTTGTTTTGTTTTTTTGAGACAGGGTTTCTCTGTGTAGTTTTGGTGCCTGTCCTGGATCTCACTCTGTAGACCAGGCTGGCCTCAAACTTCCAGAGAACTGCCTGGCTCTGCCTCCCGAGTGCTGGGATTAAAGGCGTGTGCCACCGCCGCCCGGCCAAAGTCTCTTTAAAAGTTGAAAGCCTCTCAACTATAGGCTCCATCCAGTAGGATATGCTGAAGAGGCAGAGACCAGAGGATCATGAGTTGGAGGCCGGCACACCTGTCTTGACTGCCTTGCCAAATGACGGACTTGGGCACCCACACAGGGCCACCTTACATCTTTCCTGGCCAGCTTGGGCTGTGGAGACCTTGCCCACAGTGTAGTCTTCTCTTGGCCCTTAAGGTTCCATGAGAGAATGTGGATCACCTGGTCAGGAGCCTCCTGGGTACCTTTCTTTCTCTTCTCTCTTGACCCCTCCTGTGTCAGTATGTCCTTAGGAGAGGGACACAAGCTAAGAGTTATCTGGGAAGAGGGAATCTCAATTGAGAAAACACCTCCATCCGATTGGCTGGTAGACAAGTCTGGGGCATTTGTTAATGATTGATGTGGGAGGGCCCAGCACATTGAGAGTGGTACCACCCCTGGGCGTGTGGTCCCAGGTTGTAAAAGGCAGTAAACATCGTTCCTCCATGGATTCTGCATCGGTTCCTGCTTGATTTCCTTTGATGATGGACTGATGTGGAAGAGTAAGCCAAATAAACCCTTTCGTCCCCAAGTTATTTTTGGTCATGTCATTTCATAACAACCTTACCTAAAACACCTCCATCATCTATAAAGAAGCAACGAACATGAAAGAATAAGTCACACGATGGACTTGCTTGATTTTGAGTACCAGTGGCTCATAGTCTCTGACCACAGCCGCTGGGGAAACGCAGTAGCTCCCCCTAGTCTCTAGAAGCCAGCCCAGGGGCCAGGGACCCTGCCCCTGGGTGTGCACACCAGAAGGGCACCATTGAGATTGTCTGGAAAGCTGCAGCCAGTGGGGGCAATGCTCTATGCTGGCGTGGGTGAGGGCTGCTAGGTTCCTCCATCTCTAAGACTGAAGTGGAGTTCTCATCCTGCCTCATTCTGTTCACCTGTCATAAGTGTCTAGATAAGTGGTGTGTCACGGGTGCAGAACTGCAGCCTGTTTTATAACCTTTTCGTTACCTCCAGCAAAGCCTCCCACTCAGTGCCCCTTTCTCGGGAGCAGACTTGGGGAAAGTCGGGGTGAGGCTGTATGCTCAGCAGTCTCGTGTGGCAGGACAGTCTGTGGGTCACGGGCTGACTCTTTCCTTGTACAGTTACAGGGCAGGATACGATGACCTGTGTCTTGCCCTTTGGAAGATCACAGGACCCTGCTGGAAGGGACCACGGCCATTTCTTATCTTCCTGTATATAGTAGCTGCCAGAAGATTCTGGATTGGAGATCCCTCAGCTCCTAACCTTTGCGTCTCATTTCCTTCAGACATGTCCCCAGAAAGGTCACACTAGAGACAGCTCTGCAGCCTGTGCCCATGAACTTGCATGACTCTGACATCTCCATCCATCTGTCAATCACTCATGCATCTTTGTAGCCATCCATCTGCCTCCCTACCTTCCCTAACATCCTGTGTGTATCTCCTATCATCCCCCACCCTTCCTCTGTCCTATGTTCTTATCCCTCTGTCTACTTTCCAGTCTGTCTATTCGTCTGTAACTAAAGAGTGGTTATCACAATCTTGCATGCGAAACAAGCTTCCTTCCGGAGTTACAAAGTTCTTCCAAAGGTGACACCCCTCTGTGGCACCTCCACATGGTGCCATCTCACCTTTAGTGACAGTCCTCTCAAAGCTGAAATCGCGGTTGAGCCCCTTGTTGGCAGGGAGCCTTGACCCTGGGGGAGGGACAGGGTAGAGGGGAAGCCGGTGGGCCCTGGGTCTCCAAGCTTCCAGGTGGAGTTCCAGCGTCTGCCTCTAGGGGCAGCCTGAGTTCTGGCTCATGCTCTGGAGGCAGCTTCCAGCACCTCCAGTTTCTTGAATGCAGGCTGTGGTTTCCAAGGAAACAGGTTCCGGGCTGGCAGGGAGGAACTTTCCTCCCAGTGCCTCTCAGCAGCTGAGGTGCTGGCCCTGTTACCCGTGTTCCTGCTCTTAGTCTCCCTCCCACCTCCGCTCCTAACTACGGGCTCTCTGGACGAGTGTTTTCAGTCACTATTTTACCAAGGTCTGACTTGATAGAAATTAAAGGGGTGCCTGTGTACAAAATAGGGGTGGTGTGACTCAGAGAGCTGTAAGGACTGAGCTTCTACTGGTTTAAACAGGAAAGGGAATTTCCAGCCAGGCACCCGCACTAAAGCAGAGGCGACTCTGATTGGTTCCTGTAGCCCAGATCCCAGCAAGGGGTGTGTGACAGAAGGTCGTACCCCATAGCCCTGCCCAGTCATAGTGATGCCCGCAGCCTCTGGGAGCCCAGTGGGTTGGAGAAGTGTTTCTGGGGCTCTACCAGGTGCAGTCAAGGCAGGAAAGCCAAGTCTAGTCCCCACAGCATGCAGGGCCATACAGGAAAGCTACATGGAGACGTCTGTGATGACCAGGAGGTAGAAGGAA